GGCTACCAGGAGGGTTTCTTTGGACCAAAGATAAAAAACACTTAAAAATGACTGCCTTTCCCCTTCCAGATTCAGGTTTGAGGGCTCCCACCTCTGTGCTCTGGCTCTGACAGGGAAGCATTCAGCACACTGTATCCCTGGGACACACTTATCAAGGTAGCCCAGCTTCCAGGACCACTGAAGGGGCGTGCAACCCTCACATGAGTCTTAGAAAGTTCACAGACTCACCTCCATTTCATCAACATCTAGGGCTGGCCTAAGGCCAAAGAGTTTGAGAGAGGAAAAAAAAAAAAAGAGAGAGAGAGAAAATGTATAAGGGATAATAAATATTTATTAATTCATTCATTTGTTTAAAATATCTGAGTGCCTACTCTCTGTCCCTAAGAAACATGAGACACCATCTAATGAATCTTTCCTGTTTCTTTACATCCATCTCACTTGCTTTATGCTCAGCTCACATCTGCTTTATTCATTACTGTAACCCCAGAGGCAAGCCCAGTGCTGGCACTCTTATTTGTTGCCTAGCCAAATAAACGAACATACACATTTAAGTCTCACAACAAACCACTAAGTATTATTGCCTCCCCCCATTCACAGATGGGGGAACCGAGGTTCACTGAAGTAAAGTGATTTACCTAAGGTCACACAGCTAGGAGCTGAAAGGCAAACCTGGATTTTCTTTTTTTTAAGATTTTATTTACTTGTGGGGCGCCTGGGTGGCTCAGTCGTTAAGCGTCTGCCTTCGGCTCAGGTCCTGGGATCGAGCCCCACATCAGGCTCCCTGCTTTGGCCGGAAGCCTGCTTCTCCCTCTCCCACTCCCCCTGCTTGTGTTCCCTCTCTGTCAAATAAATAAATAAGGGCGCCTGGGTGGCTCGGTTGGTTGAGCGACTGCCTTCGGCTCAGGTCATGATCCTGGAGTCCCGGGATCGAGTCCCGCATCGGGCTCCCTGCTGCTCAGCAGGGAGTCTGCTTCTCCCTCTGACTCTCGCCCCTCTCATGTGCTCTCTCTCTCTCATTCTCGCTCTCTCAAATAAATAAAATCTTTAAAAAATAAATAATAAAATCTTAAAAAAAAAAGATTTTACTTACTTGAGAGATGGGGTGTGGGGGAGAGAGAACAAGTAGGGGGAGGGGCAGAGGAACAAGCAGACTTCCGGCCAAGCCAGGCTAAATCCCACCCCTGGGATCATGACCTCAGCTTCAAGTCAGACACTTAACCAACTGAGCCACCCAGGCGTCCCAAACCTGGATCTTTCATGTGCTTACTCACACTATCCTGACCAAGAATACAGACTTCATTCCCCTCCTTGAAAGCCCAAAGTCCTGAAAGGAGATGGGAGTTGAGGCAGAGTGGAAACCCAGAAAGTCTGAACTGTGACAGGTGCCTCTCGGGGATTTTAGGGTTTTGGCAGCTCCTGGGAGATGTGATAGCTGATTGCTTCCGCGTCTGGCTTATCTGGGGCTACGCTTAGAAGGGAATGTGTAACAGACACCAAGGTGAGCATTTCAGAAGAAAAGACTCATCCAATATAAAGCCCCGGAGAGCAAACAGGGATTTCCACAACCACCTGGCAGAGGCAGGGCAGGTCCGGCAGGCCTCACGGGGGAACAGCAGGCAGACTTCCTCACATAGGACGCACGTAAGGAAGCCTCAGCTTCTCACAGACACAAAAACAAGAACAGGAGGACCCAGGTCTCCTCCCTCAGTGAGCGCAGCACCAAGCCTTATCACAGAAGTGAGTAATGAGGAAGTGAGTCTGAGGGGCAGGAGAGGGAATCTGATCATGTAAAGGAGATCCCAAAGCAGGTTTCTGTATTTGTTTTTTTTAAGCCCAGTTTAATTAGGAGGTCTGCACACTGTTTCTACCACCTTTCAGCACAACTTGTAGAAAGGGGAAATGGATGTATTTAATCCACACAAGTGGGTGCTTGTGAGCTATCCATCAAGGTCAATCCATCAAGCAGCCAGACCTCAAACCCAAAACATAAACCCTGTTTGCCCAAACCAGGTGGTAGAGGAAGCAAAGCAATGAAGCCATCAGTTTAAAAGCCTACCTGCTTTTCCCCCCCCCCCCCACCCCCCACTCCCCCCACACCTCAATCAACTTAAAGCGGAGGGCACTATGATGATACTTCTTAGATCCCAAACTGTCTAAAAGCCTGGGTTTCATAAACCAGTTTGGGCTAGGAAAAAGAAAAATAATCAGAAATTCTAGAGAACCGGTTTATAGTGACTTGTTTTTTAAAACATTCTCCATTTTAGAACCTGGAGAGAAACCAATAAAATCAATACAAGGCTCCGACTGTGGGGTCAACCATCTCACAGAGCACAACAATCATCCCAGCAAACCACCCCAGGGTCCCCTGAGTTTGGTCAAACCCTATTTGTGACACTCTTTGGCCAATGGTGGACAAAAAGTAACAGGTTCCTTGTTTTCAAACTCCCGTGAGGGGCACCTGGGTGGCTCAGTCGGTTAAGCGTCTGCCTTCGGCTCAGGTCATGATCCCAGAGTCCTGGGATCGAGCCCCGCATCGGGCTCCTCGGCGGGAAGCCTACTTCTCCCTCCCCACATTCCCCTGCTTGTGTTCCCTCTCTCACTGTGTCTCTCTTTGTCAAATAAATAAATAAATCTTTTTTAAAATAATAAATAAACCTGGTGCTAATGTCACATTCCCTCCATTTCCTTGGAGGGCCCAAAGAGTGAGGCCACCACCCTAACTCCCAGCTGCCTTTTTAAAATCACAAAGCCAGTTCTCTGAGGTCGCATGTGATTTTACCAGAAGGGCACGCCTATCTTGGAGTAATCGGCTAATTCTACACTGGATTGGTAGGAAAGCCCAAAACGGTGAAAGGTCAGAAAATTTGTTGAGTGGGGTGGGTCTTGGATAGAAAGAAACTGAGGGGCGCCTGGGTGGCTCAGTTGGTTAAGCGACTGCCTTCAGCTCAGGTCATGATCTCAGGGTCCTGGGATCGAGCCCCGCATCGGGCTCCCCGCTCCGCGGGAAGCCTGCTTCTCCCTCTGACCCTCGCCCTGCTTGTGTTCCCTCTCTCGCTGTCTCTCTCTCTCTGTCAATTAAATAAATAAATAAAATTAAAAAAAAAAAAGAAACTGAAACCAGCCACCCGACCGAGGACTGAGAGCTCGAAGAGGCGGCCCCTCCCACCAGGATCACCAGCCACAGACCCCCTGGCACTTCCCCCTAGTCTGACCCATCACCACCACCTCCTCTCCTCAGGCTCCTGCCACATCAACATCTCTGCTCTCTCAGGCACACAGTGAAGACAACACCTGCTTCACAACGGACACTAATTCTCCCAAACGCCATCCTTCTTTCTTTTTGAGATTATTGAGAAGGGGAGAGAACCAGAGAAAGACCAGCAGCTGTGTTTCAGTTTCCTCCCCTGCAAAATCGACAAACAATGGTGCCTACCCTCATAAAGCAAAATTAGGTAAAAGGAAACACTCGCCCCAGAGTCTGGTTCAAAAGGAATAGGTGCCGCTATTAATAATAATGGTAATATTTATGTTATGTAATAATATTATTGGTCAGACCAAGAGTTTTGGGGGGGGGCAGGGCGGGAGCAATAAAAGCCAGATTAACCCACATTTGGAGCTACCAAATGTCCTGGTGCAAGAAAACAAAGTGACAGGCGCTTGTCTGGGACACCCCATGCTAACACTCACTCACACTCCCAGTTTCTAACCCCTGCCTCCATCTTCAAGGCTAGGTCAACTTTGCCTCCTCCAAGAAGCCAGTCCTCACTGCCCACTGATAGCCATCAAAACATGCCATGCCACCCACATTCTTTGGCATCTAAATGCCCATGTCCCACAGTGCCCTCTAAGTGGGTCCTGGGACATTCTCCATAATCTGCTGGAATGTGACATACTAACAGCAGGCTGGAGTGTCCCTGTATCTCTTCAATTCATTCCTGGGTGCCCAGCACAGGGCTGGGCAGAATATCAACCATTGACTAATGGTGGATGCACTGGAAAAATCAGACAAACACTTCCTTTCTGACTCAATAGAGAGTGCCACACAACACAGGCCCCAGAAAAGCAAATATGTTTAATCAATGAAGCTGCAGTTTCTGTTTAAAAAAGAAAAAAATGCCGCCCACTGTTGGAACAACTTCCAAAATTCAAACAATCTTCACACAACAGCATGCTGCAGTTTTCACGTGATCGAAGACTGGAAGAAGAAATGCAGTGAATTTCCTCTGGGAATCGTGGGTGATTTCTCACTTGAAAAAGTGTTTTATAGTTATGATACTCGCCCCATCAACTAAAATCAAGAGGAAGAAGTCGTTTGGTAGGAAATAAGCACCTGGGAGTCAGTGAAACCAGAAGAGAAACCAAGCTTCCCTTGCTCTCTCACTCCTGGGGACCAGTGAAGTGAAATAAAGCAAACTCTATAATCCTGATTATCACAGTGCCAAGGCCCAGAAATCCACTGTGTGCCTTTTCATTCCCCGAGTCAGAGCTATCAGGCTTTTTTTTAAAAAAACATTATTCCTTGGGGGAATAGTACCTGTATGGAAATGTTTTCACCTCTCTGAGCAAATGCCACAACCTGATAACTAAGAGAGGGCACCCAGATTGTGCAGAATGGGCCCTGGGAGTCAGGCCTCAAATTCCTGCTCTGCTGACCTTGGGCAAGTGGACTCCACCCTCTGAGCCTCCATTTCCTTATCTGCAAAAGGGGAATTACTAAGCCCTACCCCCCCCAATACATCAGGTTTCTGCAGTCTGAAATGACAGTCTCTCAAGTGGTCAGGACAAAATGGGACACATTAAAGGCCTCTAAGTAAATGCCCCCTTCCCAACATCACCATACAAGTGTAGCCCTCTCAAACCACAGTGCTCACCATGGTTAAGGTTTAGATCCCTACATCTGTGTAAATTCCAAAGGGGTATCGTTTGAACCAGGACAAAAGGGCTTTGCCCAGGGGCGTGGAAGTGCAATTTCTCAGACCCTTCCCAGGCTCAGGACTTACCTCTGCCCAGGACTCGGCCTCTCTCCAAATGTCGCCGGGGCACTGTGAACGTGTAGCTGTCAGCGCCAAAGCCAGGACGGCAGGGCTCGGGCTCCTGGCAGAGCCACGATGAAACCTGAAGTAGGGGAAAGGTATGAAACCAGGGTGACCTGGGAGGGGGGGTGTCCCCTCCTGCCCACACCGAAACCATTTGCACCTCCCCTCCCTCGCTCCCAGCGTCGGAACTGTGGGAAGGAGCCACACTCACCCCCAACCCCCAGGGCAGGCAGCCACGCCAAACTCTTTCACTCCGAAACCTGCTGCCGCCAAGCCCCCAGGTACTCCCGGGAAAGGGGGCTGCTGGGTCAGTACCTCCCCACCAAGCACCCCTTTCCTTCCGGTCTACTTTTTCATTTCACTGGAGGCATCTTTACTCTTCCCCACTTCACTTTCCACACACCGGGAACCCCCCCACTCCCTAGTCTACCTCCTCACAAGGAGGGGCTCTCCAACACCTTTGAGCCCTTTATTATCCCAGGGGCGCCTCCATACCTGTTTACTACCCTTTCTTTACACTGCAGGTGCCTTTATTTCTATTGATTTCCCTTTCCTTACCTCAGGGGTCGTCCCCATTACTCCTGGCTCCCCTTGATTTGCACCGGGACTCCCCTTTTCTGTATCCTGACCCCCCCCCACGTCCCTCCCCCCCGCCCGCCCCTAGCCAGTACTGCGGCCAGCCCGGGATCCCCCAGGCCCACAGCGAGGCTCGCCCCCCGCCCAGCTCGAGTATTTACGAGAGGGAGTGGGCAAAGCCGCGGTCGCTCTCCACCCGCTCCCACTCCCACCTCCGCGAAGCCCAAGAGCGCGGCGCAGCTTCCAGGCCGTTCTTGAAACTAAACTTTCTTGGAAGAAGAGGGGGCGACAAGAGAGAGGAAGGGCCGACGATAGAGAGGAAGGGGGCCGGGGCGCGTGATGGTGGGGCCGGAAGGCGTCCCCCGCAAAGCCAGGGGACACGACGTACCTGTAGCAGCAGCAGGAGCGCGGAGACGCTAGGGTACCGAGAGCCCATGGCGGGCCGAGCAGGGGTCGGGTCCTGCGGAGCTTGGCGGGGCGACAGTACGGCAGCACTTCCGCAAACTCACAGGTGCTCCGCAGTGCCCGGCACAAATGAGCTGGACTGCGTCGCGGCCGCCAGGTGAGCCTGGAAGGCTCCGCCCCCGACACCGCTGATTGGCTGAGGCCACACCTGCGGCCCACAGCCAATGAGCGGCGGGGCTCAGCCTCGGCTTCCTCCGCCGATGTGGGGGCAGACGGCTTCAAGCCGCCTCAAGCGGCTCCCGCCCAGTGACCCGCTACCCGCAGTTGCTAGAATCAGGTTGTGGAATAGGCGTTCCATAATTCCTGTTACTTCCAAGTTTCCTCCCAGCCTCCAGGTGCCTCACAAACACCTGGGGACAGAAAGGAATTTACGCTTTATCTAGTTTTGTCTTTTTTTTTTAAGTAGTCTCTGCGTTCAACGCGGGGCTTGAACTCATGACCCTGAGATCAAGAGTCACTCCTTCTACCGACTGAGCCAGCCAGGCGCCCCGCTAGCTCTGCCTTTTTTTTTAATATTTTAATTTATTTATTTGACAGAGAACAAGAAGGGGGAGGGCAGGGAGAGGGAGAAGCAGGCTTCCTGCTGAGCAAGCAAGGAGCCCGGTATGGGGCTGGATCCCAGGATCCCAAGATCGTGACCTGGGGCTAAGGGAGACGCTTAACAGACAGAGCCACCCAGGCGCCCCCCGCCTTTTTTTTTTTTTAGGAAGAGATAAAGGGAGGGGAGGGGCAGAAGGAGAGGGAGAGAGTCCCAAGCCGGTTCTGAGCTAAGCACAGAGGCGGGGCTCGATCTCATGATCCTGAGATCACTACCTGAGAGGAAACTAAGAGTCCGTTGCTTAGGTGGAGTAGCTTAGGTCGCTTAACCGACTGAGCCTCCCAGGCGCTTCTAGTTCTTATTAACTGCGGGTCTCCATAGGTCGTGAGTGTGCAAGTCAATCCACAGGGTAGGACCCACCATCCAAAACCTCAGTTTCTCCATTTTCTAAACGGGAATAATCACAAACTCCTTCCTAGGTTGTGAGGTTGCCATACAATTAGTAAGACCAGTGTTTCCTGCGCCATAAAAGCTCTGTACAAACGTGAGGGATAATAATAGTAACAGTAGGTGCAGCGCGTTGAAAGTTACTGTGCCAGGCTCTATGCTAAACATTTAATCTTATCTAGGAACAGCCCAAGAGCTGTTGTTGTTTCCATTTGATAGGTAACTGACGCATAAAGAATTGGAGGCCACTAGGAGGTGGTGGAGGACTGGAACCCACCCCTTTCTGATTCCAGGGCCCTTCTTTCTATTAGCTTCACCTCATGTGGACCCCAGATCATCTTGGAGCTGGAGCCGTAGTTTTCAATCTTTGATGTTATCCTGGAAAAGACCCTTTAAAGATTATCCAAACCTGTTATTTGCAAAGAAGTTTCAATGTCCCATAGCAAGTCAATATCAAAGCCAAGCCTGGAGGCTCAAATCTCCTGACCCCCAGATTGGTGCTCTTAACACCACACTATTGTCACCACTGCCTTCTCTAGAGAATTCTGTCCTTAGGAAAATAATTTTAGAGTCAAAAAAAGAATAGACATGCAAATATTAGGTCAGATAGCTTCTTCTGACTGCCAGGGGCCAGCGCATCTGTGTGGTTTGGCTACCCTGACAAGGACACTATGTTTCCCTTTACCCCTCCAAGCATGCTCAGAACTCCTAAACACTGTGTGGAGTAAACTGCTCACCAGCTGCATGACCTTGGGCAGCTAGGGGCTCTTATCTGTATAAATGGGTCGATGGGAGCTATGCAAGAAAATCACTAAACAGAATACTTGGCACCTGATAGTGCCCACTCAGTAAATGTTTTGGTGTGTTGGTTGGTCTTTGGAAAGAATCACTCCCTTCCCCTCTTCCTCCTGGGGAAGGCCATGTTTAGGATATTTCACCCAGAGGGGCACCTGGGTGGCTCAGTTGGTTAGGCGACTGCCTTCAGCTCAGGTCATGATCTCAGGGTCCTGGAATTGAGCCCCACATTGGGCTCTCTGCTCCGCGGGAAGCCTGCTTCTCCCTCTCCCACTCCTCCTGCTTGTGTTCCCTCTCCCAGTGTGTCTCTCTCTGTCAAATAAAAATCTTAAAAAAAAGAATATTTCACCTAGAGCTAAAGGTGAATCTGAGCACACTGAGGCTACTTTCTCAAGCCAGAGAGGTGTTGTTGCAAACCAAGACAGTGTTTTGAATCAGCCCAGCGCTCCTCCCCCACCTGTCCCCTCAGTTTTAATGGGTTTCCCCACCTGTCCCCACAGTTTTAATGGGTTTCTGAGTACACGCCCAGGCCATTTGGATTTCTGCATTTTGGCTCTCTCTGCCTCTTAACCCACCAGGAGGCTCAGAGGGAAAGGTCTCCAGTATTTCCTTTCCCACTGAGGCTCCTGCCCGACTGTGCATTAAACAAGATAATGGAAATACAGAAAGAGGCGTTTCCCCCATGGGGCAGCTTGTCCGTTTATTTTTTTTCTCCCAGTTATGTAAAAATACATATTTTATACCATTGCTCGGCCCAGGGAGCCTTTAGGGCTTTGCTTTTCTCCACCCAGCAAGCCCTGGCCTTGTAACTCTGAAGCGACTCTCATCGACTCTTCCATTACATTCTGATAATTCAATAAGAAGGATTTTAGAAAACAATTAGGGGCAGTGAAGACAAGTCGGCACGATGCTCTCTTCAGACTTCTCAGCAAGTCCTTCAAGCTCCAGGAATAGGACTGCCGGCTCCCAGCTGTCCAGAGTGAGGAGGGAACACTCAGGAGGCTGGAGGGGGAGCACTGAGTGACTATGGCCCTCATTGAATTGCCTCAGTTTCCTCTTCCATCAAAAAGAATTTCCTCTGGGGCACCTCGGTGGCACAGTCGGTTAGGTGTCTGACTATTGGTTTCAGCTCAGGTCATGATCTCAGGGTTGTAAGATCAGACCCTGCATCGGGCTCCACACTCAGCACAGTCTGTGGGGGACTGTCTCTCCCGCTTCCTCCCGCTCCTACCCCCTCTTAAATAAATAAATCTATTTTTTATAAAAAAAGGATTCCTCATTGTGAGAATCAAAGGAACTAATGTTGGGCTATGCTGCTGATGGGCCTTTAATCTCAAGTTGCTGGAGGCTTCACATTCCCCTCTAGCTGCGGAGAGGGTAGCATGTCACTTGATCCTTTCCAGTCCGTTTCCTCTTCCATAAAATGGGGATGCTGATAGCACTTAATTCACAAGATTCTTGTGACCGCTGCATCAACTTAGCTTTTAGCACTCTTGGCTCAGTACATTCCCTTACCAGTTCTAGGCCCAATTGTGAGCCCTCACAAAGCCTCCCCACCCCCAGGCTCTGCTTTCCCCACCGCCACCATTAAAACCTATTAGGCTGTCTCTAGCTGCTGCGGGGGGAAAAACTCTTTGACACAAGCTGGTTGGTCTTTTCAACCTTCCCAAGGGTCATTTGCATTTTATTTTATTTTTTTAAAGATTTTATTTATTTATTTGACAGAGAGAGACATAGCGAGAGAGGGAACACAAGCAGGGGGAGTGGGAGAGGGAGAAGCAGGCTTCCCGCGGGGCAGGGAGCCTGACGCGGGGCTCGCTCCCAGGACCCTGGGATCATGACCTGAGCGGAAGGCAGACGCTTAACGACTGAGCCACCCAGGCGCCCCGGGCCATTTGCATTTTAAAGAGGGCTCTAGGGTGTGCTTCTTTCCAAAGGAATGAGAACTTACTTTGGAGCTAGTAAGCTCGGCCCAGGATTCTTAAAGTGGTGTCTGTGGATGGGCTTCAGGGAGGTCCATGTACCCCAGAGATTGTATGCAACTGTGTCAGTGCAGGTGATTGGGTCCACTGCACACATTAGCTTCCAAACTGAGGGGAGAAAAAATCAAAATCTTGGAGTTATAGCTCTCTGAGAGCCAGTCCAATGTTAACGGTAGATTTTCAAGTATCTACAGCGAAAAGAAAGGTTGACCAGAGGCCTTGCCAGTGGATGACAGCCCCTATGGCTGATGCTAACCAAACATCCATCGCTGCGATGAGAACTCCAGGTCTCCATATTACAGGGTGTGTCTCTGATGAACTTTCATTTCCTGGGTGTCCTGGCCACTGGTCAGCCAGGAGGTTAACGATGAATTCCCCCAGGGCGCCTGGGTGGCTCAGTTGGGTAAGCGACTGCCTTCGTCTCAGGTCATGATCCTGGAGTCCCGGGATCGAGTCCCGCATCGGGCTCCCTGCTCGGTGGGGAGTCTGCTTCTCCCTCTGACCCTCTCCCCTCTCATGCTCTCTCTCTATCTCATTCTCTCTCTCAAATAAATAAATAAAATCTTTAAAAAAACAAACAAAAAAAAAACCGATGAATTCCCCCAGGCAGTCCCATCCCTTTCATTTCCAGGCAAAGCGGTGGCAATAATGGTACTCCGACCAAGAGGGGTACCCCCTCCCTAAGCCTCCCTAAGCCTCTCTGAGAGGAGCTTAACCCCCACCTGGCTGGAGGGGAATCCCAGGGAAATTGAAATTGCCAGGGATTACAGCCAGATCGAGCTCCCAATGATGTGGGGGAGATGAGGCTGTGGGCTAGCTGCTCCTGGGGGCTCCTAAAACCTCTGCTGGCCCGGACTGCCTGCCGGCATACAGGGGAGGGAGCTGGATATCCAGCTTCAGCTTCCTGTGAAAATAACAGTAACTGATAGGGGTGCCGCACCCCACCCCTTGCGGCTCAGCCACTCATGTCTGCAAAAAACATTGTTTTTTCAATCACAAGAAAATAGCATACTGCATACCATGTGGAGTAGAATGCACCACCATGTAGCTATCATGTAGCTCCAATAATTATTTTTTGCCATTTTTATAATTTTGTCATTTGTAAACTTTGTAATTGTACCAAATCTTGTCTCTTTTCACCCCTGTGTTTTAAAAAAAAAAATTATTCTTTAGAGCAGTTTTATGTTCACAGCAGATTTGAGAGGAAGATACAGAGATTTCCCAAATACCCCCTTGCCCCCCACACATACATAGCCTCCTCCCACCAGAGTGGTACATTTGTTACAATTGGTAAACCT